TCATCGCTTTCTTAAAATTACATAAAGCCATATTATAACATCGACTGAGATAAAGAATAAAATGAAATATTAAAATCACGATGTATCTCGCTGCATTGCACGAGTACGCTTCTAATATAATATAAATAGAGGATAAGAACTTTATTCGACATTCTCAATAAAAAAACTAATTAAATATATTTCTCAAACCAGCTATAATTATAATAAATAATCGTATCATTTTCATTTATACCAATCTACAAATCATAACTCTCTTCTTGAATAGGTGAAGGTATGTTTTCAGGCTCTCTTTTAGGTCTAACCCATCTTCCGAATTTATTGGAAACCAAGCCTTTGTTGCTCAATTGATACCAACATGGTGGAATTCTAAGATCGTTTACGAGCATATCAACATATTTATTCACCAGTGCCACATCCCTTTTAGCATCCGACCGAAAGCTCGAGGTGCTACTGACGTATCCATCCACAAGATGCAGATACGTCTCAGGATGATGAATCCCGATGAAATTGGACCCACGTTTGAGGAAAGGTGAAGCTCTGACATCGAGCTTCAGCTCTGCTCCAACGTGGTGGTAAACCCACTCAAGTGTACCTGTCAGATCATCAAATTTCTGTAAGGTCTCATTGAACACAATGCCAGGCATCCGAGGGACGAGATCTTGTTTTATGGTGACGCGTAGTGTTTTTACACTCATGTGGTGCATCTCGTCCCGGAACGCGATGTTTCCGACCCGAGGTGCACCGAAGGAAATCACGCTTATCGGGAGGGTCGGAAATGTCATGGCGGCCTCGTAAGCGTTTAGTAGGGCTAACGCTCCGCCAAGGCTGTGTCCGGTGATCGTGAGGCTTATCTGTTCGCCTTTTTCTTTATAGAACGTCATTAATCGCTTCACCTCTTCCATCACCTGTTCCGATGCGCTTTTTTTATTGTATCGAGTCGAGATACTCTTCGATTTGTAAATACTAAGAAACCCTCGTTCCACCTTCGCTTCACCGTGCCCCAGAGGCTCGAGATCCTGTTGCATATCCTCGTACCATTCGGATGGCAACACGGTCCCACGCCACGACACCACGATGTCACGCCTCCCTATTCGCCTCGATTCCACATCATCGCTCACCGCCACGTAACCCATCCAATTCGAATCCTTGCTCCACGTGTCTGTGACGTAGGATTTCTCAAGCCACCGAGGAATTTCAAACTGTGACATGGCGTAAAGATACTTGCTGACGTCATAACCATGTTTCGTGAGCCCTAGCTTTTCGAACAACTTCCGGCGATTAAACAGGCAGCTTCCACAGTACTCCGAGAATGAGTCAAAGTCAAAAGCGTCGTACGTCGCCTGAGCAAACTCGCCGTATTTTATTATCTCTCTACGAACCAATGGATGCAACGGATCTAGAAGACTCTCCCAATCGGAACCGCCATGGATGTCCCGCCAGATCCTCGATATGTCTTCCTTCGGCGACATCGTCGGTGTCTCCAGCTTCGCCTCCGCTTGAGAAACAGCATCTGATTCATCACGTTGGAGAAAATTTCTCAACGACGGCTTCTCGATGTACAGATGCAAGAGGTTCGAGATGGATTTCGCTAGGCGCGTTGACTTGTTTGGTCGTTTATCACCGTCGTTGATCGCAACATCGTTGAAATAAGCAGTCACACGGCGGAGGTTTTTGTTGTCGTTGGCGGACGAGAACCGTTGGCAACGGTGGTTGACATAATTCACGGTGGTGGCGACGGCCATGTGAACCAGATGGCGACAAGATCTGAAATGAAGGAAAGAGAAGACTTTGTTTATATAATTGGAGAATATTCTATTTCCAGAACATAAATGTTCAAAGTATAAACATTGTACAGTTATTGTTACGTAGTATACAAGTTAGTAAATAGATCTTTCTCTGTATTTGAAAACTATTGGTGTGGAAAATAGAGATTTGACTAGTCAAAATGAGGACGCGTCGGGTTTGGAAGCATCCGGGTTGGATCGTCGGGTATGAATCCACTATTAAGCCAAATGATTGATTACTTTGAGTGCTTCTCGTTTTTAACATGAGCTATTTTTATTCCAAATGATTTGAGTGTTACTAATATATATATATATATATATATATATATATATATATATAAGGGTTGGTATCCCCACCCGCTTACGTCACCTTTTCACCCCTCCCTCTCACATTCAACTCCTCTCACATTCAATCAATTTATAATTATTATAAGGGGGTGGCTAATGGCACCTCTATCATGTGCTAATGCCATCCCTAAGTAGGTTTCAATCATTTGTGTTTTATAAATTTTTGTGTTTTTTTGTTTTTTTGTGATGATTACTTTTTATTTTATTATTAATTAAAGAAAATTTAAATTAATATATATTATTTATTTAATTTCCTGTTTTATTTATTTATTTATATT